CAGGCGCCCGCCACAACGCCCGGCTATTTTTTGGTTGCAGCCGTCATTGTTGTTTGGCGGGTCCGGGCTGGGGATTCAAACCCGCCACCTTAGGTATATATGGCTGGCACCTTAGCTGCTTGAGCTATAGGCACGGAGACCCCACCCCAATTCTTGAACAGTCCCAGCCAGATCCTGCCACTTCAGAGAAGGCCCAGGCCTGGCAGCCAGCAGAGCCATCTGGCCCTGACAAGGAGGGAAGACACCATACCCTGCCATGAGGCTATGGTGAAGTCTCAGCCCTGCAGACAGCTGGGCTCAGTTCCCCAGCTGCTTCCCACTTGCTGCATGCATTGCTCTAAGTCCCCAAGTCCCCAAGTCCCATTTCCCTCATCTGTAAAGAGGGGCAGCAGCTATTGTGATCACGAACTGATGTCTAACATGCAAAGTGTTAACAACAGATGGCTCTTCTCCTTCTCCCCACTTCTGAGCCAGCCTGGTTCCCCCTCTGTCTATGTGAGGGTGTTGGGGCTCAGCTGTCCCTTTGTTTTCCTGTTGACACCAGCCCGGGTCCTGAGCCAGCTCACCAGTGACTACACTATTGGATTTGGCAAGTTTGTGGACAAAGTTACCGTCCCTCAGACGGACATGAGGCCTGAGAAGTGAGTGACTGACAGGGGTCCTGGATGGGCCACCTCCTCTCTTACCCACACACTTAAAATTCTCCATCTGGTTGAAATGAGTTGGGGGTCCTGAGGTCTGGGGTTCTTCCCACTGATGTGCTCTCTCCCCTCCCACCTCTCTCAGGCTGAAGGAGCCCTGGCCCAACAGTGACCCCCCCTTCTCCTTCAAGAATGTCATCAGCCTGACGGAGGACGTGGAGGAGTTCCGGAATAAGCTTCAGGGAGAGCGCATCTCAGGCAACCTGGATGCTCCCGAGGGTGGCTTTGATGCCATCCTGCAGACGGCTGTGTGCACGGTGAGTGTCAGGGGCTGGTGCTTCTCAGAGGGGGCATGAGCAGCCTGCAATGGGCTCTGAGGCCCTGGAGAGGATCTCCAGAAGCCTGCAGCTCTCTTTCCTTAAGACAAGCTTAGACTTTCTAAATGGCCCTCAGTTATATCTGGGTTTAGATGTGCTGAGAGCCAGGGTCCCCTGGCCTGAGCAGCCGCTGCCTAGTTTTGTACTTGCCAGCAGGGTAGACGTGGACCGTGGGATTCTGGAGTCTTCAGTGCCTGGAGGCCAGTCTCCAGCTGTGCTGGGTAGCTGAAGAGACCACTTTTTCTTTTTTTTTTTTTTTTGAGACAGAGCCTCAAGCTGTCCCCCTGGGCAGAGTGCCGTGGCATTA